GTCAACAGGTTAAGGCAGAACACCAAAAACCAGCTGAATTGTTAAATCCACTAGATATACCTGAATGGAAATGGGAAAATATCACGATGGACTTTGTGGTTGGATTCTCGAAGTCAGCAAGAGGAAATAATGCTATATGGGTAATAGTGGATCGACTAACAAAGTCAGCTCATTTTCTTCCAGTGAAAATGACATTCAATTTAGACCAATTGGCACAGTTGTACATTAAAGAGGTTGTGAGATTATACGGTGTACCTGTATCCATTGTGTCTGATAGAGACCCAAGGTTCACGTCCAAATTTTGGAAAAGTCTCCAAGGAGCTAAGAGAACGAAGCTGAACTTTAGTACAGCATATCACCCTCAGTCCGATGGTCAGTCTGAAAGGACCATCCAAACTTTAGAAGACATGCTAAGAACATGTGTTTTGAATCTAGGAGGAAATTGGGAGTCATACTTACTTCTAGTAGAGTTCGCTTATAATAACAGCTTCCAAACAACTATTGGAATGGCACCATATGAAGCTCTCTATGGTAGAAGATGTAGATCCCCTATTCATTAGGATGAAGTCGAAGAGAAGAGCGTTTTAGGACCAGAAATAGTTGAAAAGACGGTCGAGGTAATCTATAAGATTCGTGCAAGAATAAAGGTAGCACATGATCGACAAAAGAGCTATGCAGATACAAGGAGGAAGGATTTAGAATTCCAAGTTGGGGATAAAGTGTTTCTGAAAGCAGCACTGATAAAAGGTCTACTTAGATTTGGAAAGAAAGGCAAGCTACGACCCCGGACCTTTCGAGATACTTGATAGAGTCGAAAATGTGGCTTACTGACTAGTTTTGCCACTTGAATTATCGGCAGTGCACAATGTGTTCCATATATCAATAATAAAGAAGTATGTACATGATCCTAATCATGTAGTGAGTTATCAAACCTTGGAGGTACAGAAAGATTTGTCGTACGAGGAACTACCGATCAAGATATTGAATAGAAAAGTGCATAAACTAAGGAATAAAGAGATTCAGTTGGTTAAGATACAGTGGAATCATCACGGCGTAGAAGAAGCCACTTGGGAAAAAGAAAAAGAAGCCAAAGACAAGTATCCAACACTATTCGTCCAATCAGAAGGTAAATTTCGAGGACGAAATTTTAATTAAGGTATGAGGGATGTAGAACCCCAAATAATTCTAGACACCTTAGTGGCACTAAGACATGAATATTGGATGACTAAAGTATACTTCAGATTTTTAGTCTCATTTGAGACCCATTTTCGACAAAGGAAACATTCGATTTGGAAAATGATATTTAAATAAAAGTTGTAACTCTTTGAATTATCTTTCCAACGCACTTTGAATTACTTCAATCGGATATCGAGAGAAGAAGTTATAATAGAAACACTGAAAGTTGTGCAGTGTCAATCGGACAACAACCGGTCGACCGAAACTGCCTGAAATGAAAATTCTTGTTTTTCTCTAGAATTTAAATATTTATTTTCATCAATTATTTTCTCAAAGGGCCACTCACTTTTTTGGCAATAAAAACCCCACTAAATTGAAGCATTTAACCTCAAACTTAAATGACACCCATATTTTATCTCTTAAATGAAATTTGACCCTTCATTTGCTTTAAGTTATGAGATATTTACCTATAAATAGAGACCTCATTTCACTCATTTTTTCTAACACCAAAAACAAGAGTTTTTACATACTAAAGAAAGAGTTTCCAAGAGAGAAAAAGAGAGGGAGGAAAACTATTTTTCCTAAAAGTTTAAGAAGTGTTTTCAAGCATCAATTCTCAACGGTTTTCAAACATCCAAGGAGTGCATTTCTTTCAACGTCCAAGTTTCATCAAAGTTTTTAATCGAAGTTTTCAAAGTTTCAAAAGCATCAATCAAAGTAGGTAGAGGTGCAATGTGTTTAATCGTGTTAAGTTATAAGTTTCGATTCATGTTAATGTTTGTATGTCAAATGGTACTCCGGTACGGCATACCCCTCTATATTGAAGAAATGTTCGTATATCAAATGGTGCCCTCGGGTACGGCATACCCCTTCATGTCAAATGGTACCTCCGGGTACGGCATGTGTGAAAAGTAATAAAGTTAATGTTTTGAAATGTATTGCTTGATCACGAATGCACCTATGACACCTATTGAGTTTTTCAACTCATAAGTCTCATCTCTACAGATTGAAGGAATTCTACCTCGGGTGTGGATGGAGGAGAAGATGAAGAGTGATGCAACGAGCCCATGGAAATCTGGTGAATAAGTGATTTGGATTTATTTTTATGAAATATTTTCCAATGTTATTTCTTTAAAGTTTTGAATAACGCAGAATGCGAGAACAAGTTATGTTTTCTTCAAATAAATTACATTTTGTTATTTTGAAAAATGATTCAATGTTTTTGTTTAAAATATTTGAAGTATTGTTATTTAAATTATTATCCGAAAATGTAAGCTTCCGCTAAAACGTATACACTTGTTACTAAACCACCGGTTAAGCTAAGTAAAGTAAGTAGCGTTCCAGTCCACTAGGGGTCAGGGCGTTACGGGAAAAGTAAGCGATACGTTCAAGTTGTCCTTGGATTCGAAGTCTAATTACCTTTGAATTGATAGAACAGTCTTAAAAAACAAAGAGTTCATACATATGAGCATATCCAATCTGATCTTGCTATGGGTACGTGAAGATTTATATGTTGGTTGACACGGGCCCACCTCCCCTCTCACATGAGGAGGTCGGCCCCACACATTTGGGCGTGAACCCCGACCTCTCCCATGTAAGAGGTTGAGTGGGACCGTGTCAACCAACAAGCACAAATGACAGAATCCTATCCAATAATTCACTTTTTAAAATGTATGCTTCTTAGTGGATAAGTGTGTTGATTTATTCATGGTGTAGAGTTTGTTTGGCATTGTTTAACTTCTAGTCAAAATATACAATTCATATAAACATTTATTAGTAAAATTCACAATATATTTTTTACATATTATTCATATATTTCGCAAGATTCATAACTTATAAGCACTTAATATGTATTGCATATTCATATTCGTATGATATTTATGTTTTAATGTATTTATATATTGATTGAACAATTTTCAATATTAGTTAATTAAATATTAATAAACAATTTCGTTATTGAGGTTGTCAATGATCGACGATAAACAATTAACGGTTGTCCTAGTTGACCAACATTTTGGGACCCGCCACTGATGATGTCCGTTTGGCATGACTTTTGAGAAACCAAAAGGAGCTTTTGTATCCTTTTTGAATCTCGCTCAACTATTTATGAAAGTATTTTTTCTAGTAAAAAGAGCATTTAAAAGAAGTTGATTTAATGTGATTTTCTCTAAAAGTATTTTTGAAATAAAAAAAAATTCTTTAAAAATTAGTTTTTAAACAAAAATTCACTGGTAAATTCTTTTACATAAAGTAAAGATAGAAACAAAAATCAAGACAAACGAAAGATTGTATTATTATCCCCAATTTGATAGGAATTAAAATTTAAATTTTAATCAAAATTAAAGTTAATAATTAATTTTAATTACATATTTTCAGGAAATGCATAACTTTTCGATCATATATGTCATAACTTTTATAAAATTTAGGGAAAATTGCAGCTGAGATCCCAAACCTTTGAAACATTAGCAAACTTTCCCCAAACATTTAATTTATTGCAACCATCACCTATAACCTTTCCAAACGTTGCAAATGAGGCCCCTTGGATGATTTCCGTCAAAAATTCCGTTAGTTGACCGAAAATTTGGACTTTGACCATCTTTAATCAATTATAAAGGGACAATATGGTAACTTTCTATTTACTACATTCAAAAATTTAAAAAACCTAAATCAAAAACCCCAAAAAAAAAAAAGGAAAAGAAAAGAAAAATGGATCTTCAACCAACTCTTCAAAGCTTCAAACTTTCAATTTCAGTTTGTGCTAAAATGGCCTTATGGGTTCTTTTTCACCTTCTTCTCTTCCTTCGAGTCCCCGTGGTATTTTTAATCACGAATTGGCTTACAGAAGCAGTAGTCGAACTTTGCTTTATAAGCCTGCAACGCTCTCAATGGTGGCCATAGCAGCCGTATGTGTGTGTAGCCCTTTTTTCCAAAAGCTTGCCTAAAGTTCTGTAAGTGTTTGTTCGTTCAGGTGGGAGATGTTGGAATATGGTTCCAGTTGAGAGCAACATGAAAATAAGTGACATTCCTTCTTCATTTTGCAATTGATCTTCAGAGTTTGTTGGGTTTTGGGATGGTTCTTCAAAAGCCATTTTTATAGAGAAAGAATGGAGATTGCGTAGGGTTTTTGAGGTCGTTGTCGTCACATTTGTATCTGGGATTTCCTTGGTGCAGAGGGGTGAGAGAGAGAGAGACCGATATTGTTAGGGGTTGGGGGGGGGGGTGGGGGTGGGGTGAAGGAGAAGAAGATTTTTTTCCTTTTTATTTTGTTTTCTTCTTTTTATTTTTTATTTTGTTGTTTTTTATTTAAGTTTTTTAAAGTGAAAAATAGAAAGTTACCATATTGTCCCTTTATAATTGATTAAAAGATGGTCAAAATCCAAATTTTCGGTCAACTAACGAAATTTTTGACGGATACCGTCCAAAGGGGCCTCATCTGCAACGTTTGTAAAGGTTAGGAGGTGACGGCTGCAACAAATGAAAGATTTGGGAAAAGTCTGTTAATGTTTCAAAGGTTTGGAGCTTCAGCTGCAATTTTTCCTAAAATTTACTAAAAAATTGATTTTAGTTCCAACCAATTTTTTAGCTCTTCTTCGAGCATCATTTTTGGCAAAAAAGATATTTTTGAATAGTATATTGATGAAATTGTGTAGTTAAAAAATAAAGAAAAATTATAAATTTACGTATAATATTATTTTATTGAAAAATATGAGATTGAAGTGAGGTTAAGTCATTATAAAAGAATGTAATTTTGATGGAAAAAATGGGGGTTCGAACTTTAATAATTGAAGTCCATATATTTCTAATTACCTTTGGTTTTCATCTCTTGTAACATCATTGTCCTTTCGTTGTACTCTTCTGAGCTCCCTCAACAAGCTCCAAAAATTCTAAACTGCGTAGCTGTGGCTTTCTCAAAATTCACTGAAATCTTGCCTTCCCTTTCCTTTCCTAAACAAATACATATAAAAGTCTCAATCCCGTCAATTCTCGCCTATTAACCTTTTAAAGGATCAACAATGGCAAGCACAGGAGAAGATACCACCATCCAGTACTTCAAGAAAGGCGCCGCCGTGGAAATTAGCAGCAACGATGAAGGATTTCGTGGCTCGTGGTTTGAGGGCACTGTTATACGCCCCCCCTCGGAAACAACTACCCCAATATCATCGAGATCCAAGAGGAATTCCGTTCGCAATCAGTACAATAAGAACAAGAAGAATACCCTCCGGGTGCTGGTGGAGTACAAGAACCTGATGGAGGACGAGGCAGGCACAAAGAGGCTGAGAGAGGAGTTGGAGTTGGTGCAACTGCGTCCTCCCCCTCCTCGAGAAAAGCTCCAGAGCTTCAAATTCAACGAGGAAGTCGATGCGTACTACAACGAGGGGTGGTGGGAGGGTGTAGTCACCGGGGTGCTGGGGAACGATATGTACTCGGTGTTCTTTCGGGGCAATAGGGAACAGATAGACTTTAAGGCCTCCCAGCTGAGGCTGCACCGCGAGTGGGTTAAAGGGAAATGGATCCCTCCTTTGGAAGATGTCCCTCCGTTGGAACTGGAACACGATGAGGTACGTAGGTTTTAACGCTGCTGTTTATATTACAAATTGTTACAATGATTGGTGTGGTCGGGACAGGCTTAGATACGGTTGTTATGGCAGGCTAAACTTTTTGAAAAAAGTTCCAAAATTAAACGTGCTTTACCCCAAGTCTCTGTCTAAGGTACACAGAGTAGGAAGAAAATTTCATTAGATAAGAAGAGATTTAAGACATGAGTTGGCAACAGTGACCAATAGCTCGAAATCTAATCGCGCTTGAGAACAGTCTCATTCAAAACTCCTCCAGAACCAAATCCATATTTCTCCAAAGAAAAGAGCAAAGATAGAAACAAGTAGGAACTAGAGACAAAAAAATTAAAAATGACTTGTGGGACTTACTTTTTGTTGGGTGTATTTCAAATGGAAATAGAGGGGGTGGACTCACAATTGCTCCAAGATTTGATTTCTAATTTGCCATATACATGTGACTATTCTTTTAGCCACATGCAAAGTTTCCAACTTGGCTAGAAAGGCATCATAACTCTTTATAGCACTTTTGCTGCCTAGCTCTTGAAGTTTTATTTATGGTGAGCACATTAGGCTAACCAATGTTGGAAAAAATAATGGCAATGGAGAAGAAAATTATGAAAGTATAACAATGTAGTCTTGAACACGAAATTAATCTTGCTGTCCTCAAACGTTATTTGCCTTCTTTCCAATGCTTTTTAAGGATTTCCGGCAAATAGTTTATAGGATTAAACAAGCCTCGATAAGAAGAACACCAAAAAGCAAAGGTGTTTCTTTACAATTAACAAGTGAAAATGGAAGGATTATGTGATAAATTTTCTCAATATTGGAAGTGTATTTGGGGATAAATTTTAATGGAACTCAATATATTTTTCTTGCACTTGGATCACCTATTTATAGGCCTTGGCAAGTTTTTCACGAAATGGTGTAAAACAAGGATAAAAAGCCACCAATTTCAAATAAAAAACGGTTAAAAAACTAACGGTTAGTTTTTTGTAACAATGCGACCGCATGGGCTATAGTATAGCCCATGCGGGTGCATGGTTACAGCCTCCACGACCCTCCCATTCTTGGGAGGGCCTCATGCCGCATGGGCTTAATCCATGCGGTTGCATGGTTAAGCCCCCCTTCTTTTTCTTTTGACAAATAAATTTCCTACAATCCCCCACTTGTTCAAAATCTATTTTAATCACATAATCAAATATCAACACTTATGTATAAGAATTATATATCTTTCGATTTAAATCTATTCATAGTGTAAATCTCATAAAGTATTATCAGAATTCCAAGTGGCTAATGTGCCTTGAACCAATTATTCTTTGTGACAATACCGATGAAATCACACACACAAGTGTTATGCTTTTCGCTAGTTCTTTTAATTCGCTTAGTGCTAATATGATCTTGCACTAATCCTATTTCATTGAACTTTTAAAGAGAGAAAACTTCATCTTTCTAATGACGCGGCACCACCTCGAAGTTCACATAGGTAAAGTTCTTCCAGTAACTTTGTTACTTTTATAGATATTTTTACTCCGTACTGAACTTCATTAAGAGTTTATTTTAACTCATCCCTCTAACGAGTAACAACCAACACTATTTTCAAAAGATAATATTAGATATATTTAATAGTGTTGAATTCATCCACTTATCGAATAACTTGTTGTTACCTCTTAAACCTCTATATACTAGTTTAGTATATTTAGGTGAGGTTGCTGTTATTGGTGGATCTATTTGAGGAGTTTTAATCCCATTTTACTTGATGTTGATCTCACTAACTCTTTTGTGAGAGGTTTCGTAAATGGATCAGCTAAGTTCTCACTAGACTTAACAAATGTAAGAGAAATTACTCCATGTTTGATTAATTTCCTTACATACTCGTGTCTTAGACTCATGTGTCTAGACTTTCCATTGTATACTTAGGGTGGCTTGACTATCACACAAGATAGGTATAGAAAAAATATCATTTATATCTAAAGGTATTTCATATAATAAATTTCTTAGCCACTCAACCTCTTTCTCGGTTTCGGCCAATGCTACAAACTCCGATTCCATAGTTGAATGAGTAATACAAGCTTGTTTCTTAGACTTCCAAGAAACTGCACCACCTCCAAGAGTGAATATCCAACCTGAAGTAGATTTATTCTCTCCCGCACTCGATATCCAACTTGCGTCGGTATATCCTTCCAAGATTTTAGGAAATTTCGTATATTGTAGCCCAAGATTTTTGGTTTTTTTTAGGTAACCAAGAACCCTACCTTGGCTTTCCAATGTTTTGAACTTGTAATGCTAGTAAACCTACTTAGTTTACTTACAACAAATGCTAAATCAGGTCTTGTACATTGTGATGCGTACATAAGACTTCCAATTGCACTTGCATATTCTATTTGTGCAATTGCTCTACCTTTATTTTTTATCAATTTAATATTTGAATCTATAGGAGTGTTAGCCTTCTTAACATTCAAATGTTTGAATTTGTTTATCACACTCTCAACATAGTGTGATTGGCTTAATGTAAAACTCCCACTATCCCTTTTAACTTTGATACCAAGGATAGTATCAACTTCTCCAAGATCCTTCATTTTGAAAGTAGAGGATAGAAACAATTTTCTTTCTTTGATCCCGTCTATATTATTGCTAATGATTAGCATATTATCAACATATAGATATACTAACGTGAATATATTTACATTCACTTTTGTATAGAGGCATTTATCTACCGAATTGTGATTAAATCCATTTGACATTATTTTAGAGTTAAATTTTCGATGCCACTTTTTGGGAGCTTGCTTTAGTCCATATAAGGATTTAATTAATTTGCACACTTTATGTTCATTTCTCGGTAGAACGAACCTTTCTGGTTGTTCTATATAGACCTCTTCTTCAAGATCTCCATTTAGGAATGCCGTCTTGACGTCCATTTGATGAAACGTTCATTTGATGAACATGTAGATCATAAATGGATGCTAACGCAAATAAGATCCTGATCAAGGTTATCCTGACTACGGGTGCATACGTGTCAAAGTAATCAATTCCTTCTTTTTGACAATACCCTTTAGCCACTAATCTAGCCTTATAGGTATTAAGTGATCCATCGAAATTGTATTTCTTCTTAAATACCCACTTGCAACCAATAGCCTTAGATCCTGCTGGCAAGTCAACTATTTCCCAAGTGTTATTTGAAATGATAGAATCTATTTCGTTGTTTATGGCTTCTTTCCAGAACATGCAATCTCTAGATTGTACCGCTTCCTTATAAGTCTTAGGATCACTTTCCAATTGAAGAATAAAGGGAATTGTTCTTACAACATCCTTCCTATCTCTTTCTACTGAGTAAAAAGAAATAAGTTGGGGATCTATTTCATCTTATCCTAAGTTCTTTTCTTTTCTAGTTCTTTTATTTCTTCGAGGTTCAATTTCAACAACCTTTATGGATGTCTCTTCTGGTGAGTTTCTAAAGATTGAAATATCCTTATCATTATTTTTAGATTTTCTAGCTACCATTACATTCTCAAAAAATTCCACATCTCTTGATTCTATTATAACATTTGTTTCTAGATTTAATAATCTATAGGCTTTGTTGTTGAGAGCATATGCCACAAAAGCACACTTGATACCTCTAGGACCTAACTTGGTTCTCTTAGGATTCATGTTCTTACAATATGCAAGGCACCCTCACACTTTAAAATAACTGATATTTGGTTTTCTATTTTTCCAAATTTCATATGGAGAAATTTTATTCTTTTTCATAGGAATCCTATTTGTTATATGACAAACACTAAGTAAGGCTTCGCCCCATAGATTAAAGGGTAATTCAGAATTTAACAACATTGCATTTATCATTTCTAAAAGAGTTCTATTCTTTCTTTCTGCTAATCTATTTTGTTTTGGTGTTCTAGGTGCAGAAGATTGATGTATTATTCCATTTTGTTAACAAAATATGTTAAATTCATTAGAAAAATATTCTCCACTTCTATCACTTCTTAAAGTCTTTAATTTTCTTCCTAATTGATTTTCAACTTCAATCTTATAAGTCTTAAAGGCACTAAAGGCTTCATCCTTATGTTTTAATAAGTACACATAGGTATATCAAGAACAATCATTAATAAAAGTAATAAAATATCTATTACCGCCTCTAGTTAACATTCCATTCAATTCACATATGTCGAAATGAACAAGTTCAAGTAATCTTGTTGTTTTTACTACGCTATGAAATGGCTTCTTAATCATTTTTAATTTAACACATGCTTCACATTTTTCCAAGTTGTAAATTTCACATTGTATTAATCCACATTTAATCATTCTTTTCATAGTATTAACTCCTATATGTGCTAATCTACCATGTCATAAATTAAATGAATCAGTAACATACGCAAAAGATTTAACTTTATTTGAGTTATCCCTCAATAGTACATAGTTTGACCATTCCTTCGGTGGAATAGCCCTTTCCAACAAAGTGCCCATTAGATTCAAAAATAGATTTCATTCCAAGTTTTTTCAAGAGTATACCACTTGCTAAGTTTCTATTCATTTCCGGTGCATGCAAGACATTTGTCAAAGTGATCTTCTTTCCTGAAGAGAAAATGAGTTCCACATTTCCTTTGCCAATTACTATCGATCTTCCTTTATTTCCTATTTGTATCTCTTGATTGTTTTCAATGTCATGATAGGTTTTGAAGAGAGACTTATCATAACATACATGAATTGTAGCGCATGTATTGTAACACCAGCCCTGAACTTTGCCTTGGATTGCATTGATTTTGCTCGCCGTGGCGATAATCTCATCAACGGAGTTCACTTGTCCTTCCGTCTTTTGTTGTTTCCTATGTGTACAATCCTTGGCATAGTGTCCCGATTTTCCACAAACATAGCAAGGTCCTTTGATTTTGTTTTTGAACTTTCCTTGATCCTTTCTAGGAGCAAGAAATTTTCCTTTCTTTTTAAATTTGTTGGAGTTGTCCACGACATTAGCCTTTGAAGGACCTTCATAAGAAATTTCAATCTTATCC